AGAGAGAGAGAAAGAGAGAGTTGTACCTATTTTGGTCAATTCAACGCCAGTTTAATTATTTTGTTCATGAGTAAAACTTTCCTGGGACTTTCTCTATTCTATATTTGTATCACCCCCCAATACTTTCTTTCGAGTGGTTCGTGTCTCACCCACCTACTTTTGAGGTGCCCGTTTAGGTCCCTAGGTGCACAAAGGCCTAGGCAGGTCATAGGGCACCTAGGCACATGGATGACTCAGGCACCCACCAAGGTCACTTCAATTAGGGCGGTGCTTCAAACGCCATGACGATGAGGCGTCCACATTTTCGAACACTGCACTCGATTTGGAATCCTGGAATTCCAATCCTTGTAAAAGGGATAAAACATGAAATCTGAAATCTTAGTCACTGAGTGGGCAGGTATAGAGTAAGCCCTTTGGGTCCTCGGGACAAAGCTTTTGAAAGAAGGTTCATGCCATGGAAAACCAAATTCTTATTCCCCAAAGGGGAAGAATTAAACTTATTAAGTTACAAAATACGGCATTCCATTCTAATCTACGTCAATGTTTCAAATAAGAAAGACATAGGCCATTCAGAGATTTTTGCAGAAGGATGCTGATATGGGGTCACATATTTCATCTAGCCAAATGGGATGAGATACACAACACAAAGAAGCAATGAGGTCTATGGATTAGATAAGGCACACAAATGAATAAGGTTTTGACAGAGAAGTGGGACATGGAGATTTCTTAAGGAATCATGAGCCTTGTGGAGGAGATTATTGCTATCATTAGGGGGGTAGGGAAGTCGATAACACAAGAAGGTCGAATGGTTGTCAAGGGGCCATAAACATCAATAAGATTAGCTAAGTTTCTAGTTTTTTTTTTTTTTTTTTTTGAAATGGTGATGTAGAGTTTCAGTATGCATATTTTTTTATATAAATTTGGTAGTTGGATTAGGTCCAAAATCCCTAACGAACTGTACTAGAGGTCTGTTTAGTCTGGAAGAGAACCACATACCTTGGTTAAGGACTGGACTCTTCTGAGCATAAGTAGGATTGTTTTCAGTGCAATCAATATTTTAAAAGGAATATGAGAAATGAGGAGATGAATTGAGAGGGCCTTTGGGATCCTAGCTATATGATAGAGGAGTCCTCAGCTATTAAAATAAGTGTTGATGTTTGATAGGAGGATATGGTCTTGGGAAAGCTTCTATCCTATCATTGTCTAAAGCAACGGTAGGTATATGCTGTTCAGGCAACTGCTGAACTCTAACCCATGAAGGCCATATCATGACACACTAGGGCTTTGGGGGACCCCAAGAAGAAGAGTTGGGTTTGTTATTTCTGTAGGAAGTATTCATCATTTATCCTAATCTTGCTTGAAATGAAGTCTGATAAACCAGATCTCCATGCAACAAGAGTTGTTTGGGAGCGTCGACCTGCTGGTTGGACAGCACTGCATGCTCAAAGGTGATAAGAAGGTACTTAGGACTCATGGGATACATCAGTTCTTTCTACAACTCAAATCTGTAGATGCAATATAGTCCGTTATGGTCAACTTTGAATGTCTAGAGAAGGGCTTTAAGTGGACCTAAACTGCAGTCTACACCCCAAACAGACCAGCGAGGGGAGCCATTCTGGTTGAAGCAGGAGATAATCGAAGGAATACCATGTGTACTGGGTGCTTTGGACGTGATTCCAATGTCTTCATGCGGTCATACAAAAGAAATACAAGGGGCAGAACGCAGCAAGTATATCAGGCTTTAAGAAGTTATATGTACACAGGAGCTGATGGAAATACCAATTGCAAGGGTCAAGTACGCATGGTCTAACGACAACTCACAAAGTTGGACATTTCCATGTATGCCAAAATGGGAAGCCAAGTTCACAGGAACATGTTTTTGTGCGTTCATAACCTACTTCGACCGTATACCCCTAATGATGGAGACTGACCCAATCATTGTCGGTCCTTTCCCTTTCCATTTTGAGCTCACGTGGTTGGAAATCAAAAATATGTAACAACCCATCAGAGAATAGTTGGAGGAATTCAAGTGAGGGATGGGTGGGCAATCATTCGTACAAAACTATATATATATATATAGGATGATGCTAATGTTAGCCCAAGGGCTAACAGAAAGATATGAGCCTAATGGCCCAGATTGAATCTAGGCCGATCTGACAATCACGGATGTCCAATAGTGTTTGAATTTTAATTTTTTTCTACAAATCCAAATCACTTGAAATTTTAGGTGTGTGTTCATTAAAAATAGGTGAATCTTTGAAAAATATCAAAAACATATTTTACATGAAAAAAATTGACCAAAATACCCCCATAAAGTTTCGGGGGTATTTTGGTCAATTTGTTTTTTGCAGGTTATTTTTTTATATTTTTATTAGGTGCTGCTTGATGAGAAGAATACAAGCCTAAAATTTCAACTGATTTGGATTTATAGAAAACACGAAATGAGATCATGACCGTCAGATCGGCCCAGATTCAATCTGGGCCATTGGGCTCATATCTTCTTGTTAACCCTTGGGCTAACAGAAAGATTTTCCATATATATATATATATATATATATATATAGCTATGTTTGAAGTGCAGATATATGCATATATGGTGTTTGCGATGCGTCGAAATCGAGGCACCTGCATAGGAGGCCAGCAATCGACAACCCCTTGCCCTCTAGGGGCCACTTAGCACCATCTGAAATATTGCTCCAAACAAGTATCTTGTACTACCCCTCTGCCAAGAAAAAGCACAGAGGCAAGAGATGAAAGACTTCAACCTAAGGTAGCATTGTTCAAGTTTCAGTTCCTATCATTAGGAAAATAAATCTCACGTGTTTACACTATTCAATCTACCAATATACTTTTTATTTCTATCCTCATAGCCCATATTTATATCAAATGACAGTGAAGATGATGATGTTTTCTACGTAATGGGTCCTCCAAACCATCATAATCAAGACTGAAAAAGCCATTGAACCAATGAGGGGTTTCGTCCAATCAAAACTGATTCAACCACTATTCGAACAACTTAGGCTAAATTTAAAAAATAAATAAGAATAATAGTTTAAAAATATGAACGATATTAGAAAAAGCTTCTCAACTTTGTTTAGTCAGCCGAACTAGTCAAAAACTAAAGTTTTGTTCAATTTCCAACTAACCAGGTTCTTGCTTTAAACTGGACCGGTCAAGGCAACATCGGTGGTCTGACCAATCAAACAGGTGGTACGCTCCAATCTTGATAATATGCTCCAAACAATAGTTGTTAGGAGAAAAGCCGAGTGAAGAGCTCAGATCAACCCATGGCTGAAGCTCCCGACCTTGGATGAGCCTGGGAGTTATGCTCAAGAAGTGGCTTGGGAACGGCCCGTTATGTGTACCATATGTATATGGGAGAACTTTGGGAGCATTCTTTAATATATCTGTGTGTTTGTGTCTGTGTGAAATAAACACAACCATTTATTTTTATTTTTGAAATTTAAAAATAGCAACATCACTTTTTATTTTTGAAATTTATAAATAGTCACATATATTTTATAGTTTACACTTAAACCCCACCTTTTTTATAGTGAATATTGTATTTTAATTTTATTGTATATCTAATTAAGCTCAAATATCAGGCATCTGTACTTCTCGCCATAACAAAAATGCAAAAAAAATGAAAAAATATAACTATGTAAAATTTATTTTGGGACATTTGGTCATTTTTTTATTTTAAAATTATTTTGGTAGTTTCTACAAGTGTGAGATGGTGGTAGGTATCAACTCGCCAAATTTGAGCTCAATCCGATGTATAAGATAGAAAATAAAATTAAAACAATAAGCACTGTCAAATAGTGGGACCTAAGTGTAAAATATAAAATATAAAGATGGCATTTTTCATAAACTCCTCACATGTGTATGTGTGAATTATTATTTAAAGTGATTTTAGAAATTAAAAAATGTATAATCCACTCCCTTAGCATTATCTATACATATGAACAATGGGAACTCTATAACATAAAAGTCCCGAATAAAATGATATTATAGGTCCATGATATGGAATGAGCTCAGGAATCGCTTGACTGATTGTGTACTACAGTGAATCGCCAAGGCCGGGCCATCCTCTATAGTGAATCGCTCAGTTCACGACAATCTGGAGAATTTCCCGAGTTCAAAAACCACTCTGGACAGAACCTCAAAACCATCCACCCCCCCCCCCCCCCCCCCGCCCCTCCCCCGAAAAAAAACAAAAAGAAAAAAAAAAAACCTAAACCAACTCAAGGTGATGCTGAGTTGGCTCACCTGTTTTCATTCACTGATGCAAATCACATAAAAGTGAAAAACAGAAATCGTCAACACGTGGTCACAGTGATCAAAAAATCATAAATCCAGATTGGGGAATTGCCACTGACCGTGCCGATTCCTGGTCTGAATCAGTTTTACTTCTGCAACACAAAATGTAATACATTCACTTACAAATAGCTGGAACGGTTTTGTAGGACTGACCGTATGCATTCTAAGACTTCGTAGAAGCTTCGAATTCCCTTGGAGTCATTCTTCCTTTAACGTACTTTTCTTTTTTATTGTTTGTCAATATTAGCAAAAGAAAGTCCAATGGTGGGGTTGAACGTTCAACATTTGCCCAACGTTCAATTGCACTAGCCAACTCAGCCATTCTAGGCTATTGATATAAAGGGCATATAAAATATATTATACAGTCATTATCTTTATTCTTTTTTTTTTCTTTTTTCGGGGCTGGACGCTGATCTTGATGGGTCACATGGGTGGATGATCCACCCTACCAATCCCCTTTTTAAATCATCAAGTGGTTATAAGCATCAAAAAGCAAAAAATAATAAACACAAATTCAAAGACACCTACTTCAAAAAATCAAACACTTCTATTTACCAAAAAAAATTAAACACTCAAGATCCTTCAAACTAGGATCCCACATCTATTCTCAATGGGTCATGATCCCCATTTCATAGAAAGTGAGTTCCCTTTTTAGTCAAGAATCCCTGTAATGAGTGGGAGTGAGGTCCATTCAAGCTCCGACGCTGGGATCACCGAAACGTGATTTCAAGGTGGTTGCCACCACTTAACCAAGCTGCCCAATCAACGCTCAAAAGATAGAAGATAACATATAGTTAAGATGGAAGTCATCTTCAGGCCTAGAAGCAAAGAAGGACGAGGGATTCGAAGTATCCAAGAAGTAAACACGGCTCTCCAAAGAAAATGGTTATGAGGGATTGGAAACCATCAAACCACCTGTGGATGAGCGTTTTGGGTGACAAGTATGTCTTCAGCACAAAGATCTCCTAAAGCCACTGAGAAGAAGGCAAGTGCGACGAGTGCTTGGTGAGATATAGACCAAGTGTGAGAGAGCTACAAGATTAATAAGCCCATGCAGGTTCGAGAAGGGAAGAGGACCCTATTATGGAGAGACGTGTGGCTACATAAGGCATCATTAACAGAACAGCTTCTGTGGTTATTTAGCTGGCATGGATCCAAATGTGGTAGTAGCTAATGTAGCAAAGATTCAAGACAGAACAGCATGGTATCCATGTTTTAGAAGGGGCCTCAAAGAGGAGGAAACAATTTATTTCCCCAATTTTCTACCACTTTTGCAGGACATAGACCACATGCACGTGAGAGAAGACCATGACCCTAATGTAAAGGTAAGTTCAATGTCAAGTCCTTTCATAGTAAAAGTGTAAACCGACATGGATGCCTTTTGAAATCAGTTATCTCATAGGATTTAGGGGATCCCTGACCCCACTAAAATGATGAAAGAAATCAATTCATCACAATACAATTCAATCATTCAACTACAAACATGTAAATATATCATAAAACGAAAGATAGTAAAATGATTCACAACATAATACGTTATGGCAAAAAAAATCACAATATCAGAATCAAAACAATGTTTGCCCAAACCTCGTCCATTGGGTCGCCAAAAGTCCTCAAAATCGACCATTAGAAGCACCAAAAACTACCAAGAACTATTGCCTTTGATTTTGGAAGAAATCGAAAAAATCTAAAATAAATCACAAATTCAAGGTTTTTAGGGAGTTTTAATCTCTCTAGAAGCCATGGATTAGGTTGTGTGGGTTTAGAACGCCCCCATAACCCTTTTCCCCCCTATTTAAGGGGAAATTACTAAATTGACCTTAGCCGAGGGCATTTTTCCACCCTCGACAAGTTGGTTTAAGGCGGCGCCTACGTGGCCATCTTGACTATACCGCCAAGGAGGGTAAGGCGCTGCCTAGGTGCCCCCGGAGAGATCCCGCCTAGGCATTTTGGCCACTCATTCGATTATGCGGCCGCTTAGGCAGCCGAGCGGCTGAGTTTTCGAACATTGAGCAAGGGGAAAGTCTAAAAGCACATGGCTGAAAATCGTGAGAATGAGATATGGTGACTTATGATTTGACTAAAGGTATGGCCCTTGATAGAACAAAATGGTAGAACAGGCTTTGTATAGCCGACCCCAAATAGTTGGGATAAGGCTTGGATGATGACAATGATGATAAAGAATGCATGTTCCAAATCATTGCACTGCATACAAGTGGATTTGGAGTCAATGCAACATCTTTTTCTTCATTGGCCTTCAGCAGCAACCTTTCGGAAGCATTATTGGAGTTTTTTTTTTCGAGTTGTTTGAGTGTTTAGCATAAATTGGGTAATGCCAGAATCAATTGCTGACCTGGTTAACCAATGGTTTACCCAGAGTTTCCAAAGCTTGGGCTTACACTTTGGAGGTTGGCTCTAATTGTTTTGATGTGGGAAGTCTTTCTCAAATGCACTAGAAGGCACTTCAAAGATGAAAAACACAATCCCACACGGCTAAAAAGAAGATCAAAAATTAAAACTACAAATATCTCTCAGGCATTAGCTAGAAAAAAAAATTGGAGCTACTCAATTAGTGATTTAGAATCCCAGTGGCAGCTTATTTTGAGGAGCCACACAAAAAAGGATGCCATAACTGCTAAATGGACACTACCTACGGAGGGTATGATCAATTACACTTAACTTCAATAGAAGTTTCGTAGGTAGTCATGGCCGACCAGAGTTGTGGTGTGTTCTGTGACCACCACAGAAGAGTCCTAAAACAATTTGCATATCTCATTCCATAATGATATCACAACGACATTAAAGCCCATGCCCTTCTCACAATTTTGGATCCAAATTGAAAAGATATCCTTATTGAAGGCACTCACAGAATGTTGTTACATGGGCGAATAGTTGTGCAGATTATCCATTATGATCAAGTAATGTTTTCGAGGAAGTGTTTGAAATTATCAGCAACCTCAGAGCTTCTTTTCAGGATTCCTGGCATGAGGCAAAGGAGGGTGCCGATTTCTTAAGAAATGATGGTGTTTATAAATATTCTCTTGTTGTTTCCAGTTATATTTTATATAAGGTCCATTGTGCCTGGGGTTCAATATTTACACCAAGCATCAAGTCTTAATTTCAACGAAATTCAGTTAATTATCATAAAAAAAATCTGTCAAGAGTTTCCTGCCTCCTCCAATGGTGCTCACTTTCAGTTGGCAGGATACCAAAGATGAAGTTACAAAAACCACCTTCAGCACCAAGAAATCCAGTTAGCAAATGACTTTACTTCGTGTGAAGAATAAAGGAGACAACAAAGCATTACTTTTACACTATGCATATGGAAGATCCAGATGATATAATTTATTACTTTATAGTTCAGAATTAATGAGCACTTTAGCATTTCATGGTAAATATTGGCTGTCTAAAGCAAATTTATTGAATGACTAAGCTCCTGGCATTTCCCAAGAAAGAAGAGTTTTTTTTTTTTTTTCTTTTCTTTTGATTGATATGAAGAGGAAGAAAGTTGGAAGGTCCACCCCCATATCAACATTTCAGGGTCTCCAGAAGAAGTATAATTTAAGAGATAGAATACAATGACATGATCTTCAAAGTGGGAAGTACAGCATCCACTATTTTATCGGCATATTGATAATGAATAAATTGAAACGCATCAAAGGGTATGACTTGATTCAAAAGCAGTCAAGGGGGACTTTCAGTGAAGCAATAAGACCCGAATACCATAGGGCCTACACCTTATTTTTTCGCTCAAAAAATAAAACTTAAACCCAAAATATAGAGATAGGACTTAAACCCAATTATTTCAACAGGAACAATAGGATTAGCATTTGACAACAGAAGCTTTTCAAAGCCATTGTGCAAAATATCAGTACCCGAGGACATAAGTTGGTCAATCATAATGACCTAAAGATTTCCATGATATTTTAAATTTTCATGTGTCGATTGTACAAACAGGAATCTTGGAAATTCTATTCACTATAATAGAGAATTTCTGTCCGATCACTTATTTGTCTTGAGATTCCATTATACCAAAGAATTGTCTACTGTTTTCCTTTCTGTACAAGAAGACAATGCAAGAGAAAAACTCAACAAAAGAAAAGCCCATGCAATGAGGAGAAGAAAAATGAAAAAGCTCCGTAATAGTGAAATCTTACCTGGGGGGACAAAGATTGGTTATGTGAAGAAGTTATTGATCTTATTGATGTCACAGGTGGCCTCTGTTGATGGTGCATGGCCACATTTCCAGGTCTAAACTGTGATCCAGAGCCAAGTGAATTCGTAATGCTAAAATTTAATGGCTGCCTTCCCTGTAAACATCATTAATTTCAAAATAAGATGCAGAACAAAAGAGTAGTATAAGATTAAGAACAATAATAATATACTGAAAATAATTCAATTTTATATTCCCATGAGGCCCCATTTCCTTTTTGATAGTTTCAAAAAAGAATTGGGTCCTTCCAAAGTCCTGCATTCCCAATCTGTGCTATCATTCATTACTAAGAACAGATATAGAGCAACAGAACCACAAATCTAATTTCTAAACAGTGACAATTGAGCTAGAAAACACAAAGATCCATTTTCCGTTGAACCAACGATGTAAATCGAAGAAATAAGACCACTTTCTTTCTTTTCTTCCCTCCTTTTTTGGGAAACGCTACTACCATTACTGTAGAAATACTTGAAAACTTTAAATTTCAAAGACAGACCTCTCAGCCAAACCAGACCAAAAGGACTTCCAGCTTCTTAAACTAATCATCCTACAAAACTCTGAAAAACAAATATTTCAAATGCCTGGTTTTAATGGTACTAAGGCATGCTAGTCAATGCAAAACTAGCCGTGTGCGCGCGCGCGAGAGAGAGAGAAGAGAGAGAGAGCTTAACCTTTTTTTAATTCCCACAAGTGCAAACCTGGCTACCCAACTAGAGAAATTCAGAGAGAGAGAGAGAGAGAGAGAGAGAGAGAGAGACAATAAAGAGTGTCTGTTCTATCCAATCCCTAAGCATGAAAATAACGCTGCCAAACTAGGTGAGAGAGAGGGAGAGTGATTCTGTCTTTCCGAACCCTGGTCATAAAAATGCAGCTATCAAGTTAGCTAGCTAGAGAGAGAGAGAGAGAGACTATGCTTTCTAATCCCTATTCATCAAAATAGGTTGTTATGTCTCAATGTATCGTTCCAAAACAGGAGAAAGAGAGAGAAACTACACTTTCTAATCCCTAGTCATCAAAATAGGTTCTTATGTCTCAATATATCTGTCCAAAACAGGAGAGACAGAGACAGAGAGAGCAACCGAATGGGTTCGCATAAAATTCGCATAAATAAGCCATAATTCCAAAACAGGAGTGGAAGAGTAGCTTGGATGGAACTAGTATAAGTAAAGAGAGAGAGTTTTACCTATTAGTTTCCTTTTGGGTTATCTTCGGATTAGTTGGGCATTTAGTTTTAAGGAAACTTACCTGGTTTGCATGGAATTGTAGGTTTGGGTCACAAAAGAAAGGGTATAATGTCAATTAAGGTAAAGAATAAATCATCTTTCCCCCCCTCCTCACAAGTGGGAGGAGATTGCGGACACGGAAAATAATCTTAGGAAAGGATAACTATCTGCAGAGAGGGGCTGAAGACAAGCTCACATGGGTGCCCAACAAGTATGGAGAAATGACCCTAAAAAGCGCCCACGCAATTATCAGAGAACATAAAGCCAAAAACAAAGTACTTGAGAGTATACGTGAAAAACCAATGCACCTGAGGCCACATGATTTACATGGATAGCTCATCAAAAAGGCAAACAACCTCCAATAGAGTGCAAAAATGGGGTTACTTGGATCACTTGGAGATTCAACACGGAAGTCATAGCTAGCTCAAACATCTAAAGCCTCCTACCAAATTGGTGTGCAAAGAAATTTAAAACCAAATTCCTAACAAAGTTTTGCAATGCCTCTGTCCCCACTATAATTTGGTTCATATTGCGAGAAAGAAATCAGGGGTAAAAGAAGTTCATATCACAAGAAATTGGGGGGTAAAAGAAAATCATCATCACACCATTCAAGAAATACTAAGGGAGGTGAAATGGGAAATTTGAAATGGCATCTCCGAAGAAAATGTCCAAGGAATGCAAGGAAAAAAAAAAGAATCATATATGACCTGTGGAAAGTACAAATTCCCAATTGACCTTGAGTGAAATAGAGCAAATGCAGGTAGGTTATTGTGTGTATAAAGCAATAAAGAAAACTTTTTTGCAAGGCCTATTGCAAATATTATATCAATTGTAAATTTTCAATAAAATTAATACAACAAGTGGGGTTCCCATACAAACCCTAACTAATGTAAAGAAAAAAAGAATAGATCATATTAGTGTTGAGCAACAGCTCCAGAAGGCAATACAACTTGAATCAGACCCAGTCCATCATTCTTTTCTTCGCTACTTTCCTTGTGCCACTTTAATCATATCAACTACTATCAGAGCATATAGATCCACGCCGTGGCAGATGTACATGATTACAAAAGCTATATCAGAAGGTTGACGAGGAGTCGGAGCACATCATGGATAGCATGGAGGAGACTCTGAGATCTGTGGTAAAGCTCTACATGAACAAGTCCAGGTGATTCAGGATATCTGGTTAATGATCTCTACAATGGACATGAAGATGAACAAATATCAATATCATGAAATCAGGAAGATAATATTGTGTCTAATACTTCAGCCCAACAACTATGCCGCAACCGCAAACTTTCTTTCCTGTGTGAGACACAAGAAAGGTCAATCCAGACTAAGTATGTACGGCCAGATTTCTCTCCATTTAATGGGGAGGATCCAAAGTGACAGGTATAAAGGAGTGAGCAGTTTCCCAAATTCAGTCAAACAACTAATACGCAAAAGGTGCTTTTGGCATCACATGGAGAAATGGCAACAGTGGGTAGAGAAGTCACAGGGAGAACTCATGTAGAGTTTGCGGATGCCCTATGTATCATACTGGGACCACCCAATATAAGGATTATCATGAGGCCCTTTCTAAATTGCATCAAACTGCAAGATTTTGTGATTAGATTACCAATCAGATCAAACGCTTAGCCAACCAAACAAAAGGATGGACAGAGTTGATGTAGATGGGTTGCTTTGTACGTGGTTTGAAGGATGAAAACAAGACGGATATAGAAAAGTTTAGACCCATAACGATATCAGTGGTTCTCAGGTTGTCTCAGTTGCAAGAGGAGAAACTGGCACACCAGCAAAGGTAGAATAAAACATGACTGGACAACCTACAAATTCTACGTCAACCGCAACACCAAGAACCACAACCTCACCCATCAGGAATCTTTCTCCAGGAGAGACGAGAGAATGTCATGACAAAGGATTAGATTACAACTCCGATGAGTACAACCCAGGACATCCCTGAAAAACCCAGTAATTATTTTTTATCGAGGGAAATTGGCCGGATGAGGGGGAAAAATCATAGGAGACAATTGAAGAGGCAGAAAAATCATCTAAAATCTCAGTGCATGCACTCTCTGGCTCTGGAACTCCCCAAACTATGAGAGTGCAGGGAATGGTCAAAAGACAGGCAGCTATAGCTCTCCTTGATTCTAGAAATACTCCTAATTTCTTGGAACCATCATTTGCTATGAGACTTGGTTGTCGTATTATCTCTAGAGGGCAGTTTTAAGTGATGATGGTAGACACCAAGAAAATAACAAGCAAAGGTAAGTTCCCCAACATAACAGTTACAATGCAAAAATTTTCTTTCAAGGCAATTCTTGTTGTCACTTGTGCGCTCCGACAGGGTGTTAGGGCCACATTCGCTACGAACTTTGTAGTTCATTCTCTGGGATATCATGGAGTTCTGGATGTGTTTCATTGCTGTATACAACATATAATCAAGCGGTCCAAGCTCTGGCTATCAAAATTTATTGATGCCAGTAGCATTGAATACTTGCTTCATAAGCACCACCTAGGGATGACATCACAGTTATAAACCCTAGATGTGGGAGCTATGCTATCAGCAAAGTACATATGCTGTACCCAATCCTGAGGCAATATGAAGATTACTTTGCTGAACTAATGGGTAGCACTGCCCTACTCGCAAGATCATCAGACTCCCTTGGTCCTGGACAGTCAACCAATCAACATCAAAATGTACACAAATTGCATGGCTTGTGGAAAGATGTTAAAAGCTGGAATTATTTGCCTAAGAGTAAACTAGTCATCTACGATCTTTTCAGTGAAGAAAAAAAATATGGAAGCAGTTATAGGCCCTTAAACAAGATGACGGTTACTAAAAAGTTCTGTATCCATGTTGTCGATGAGCTTCATGGGATAGATTCTTTCCAAACTAGACCTTGTTCGAGATATCACCAAATTCAAGTACATGAAAAGGATGTGCAAAAGACTGATTTTCGGACAAGAAGGGCACCATGTCATGCCATTCAGCCTCACAAGTGTACCATCTATGTTCCAACGTCTAATGAATGAGGTATACAGATTACAGACCTTATCAGTGTATAGTTATATTAGTAGTCATTGATGATATCGTCATTTGGAGCAAGTCTTAGAAAGAACGTGGTTCTCATGTTGGAGCACTAGCAAAGAAATTGAGTTTATGTCAAGCACGCCAAGTGTTGGCTTTGCAAATCAAATTGGAGCTTTAGGGGCAAGTTATCTCACATAATGGCATTTCAGCTGATCCCAAAAAGACACAAAGCACGGATAATTAGCGCAAGCCCAAGTCCGTTAGAGCACTTAGACGGTTCTTGATGCATACCGGCTTACCACTAGAAGTTTGTGAAGGATAATAGAAAACTTAATGCACCTCTTAAACTCTCTACAAGGAGGCGACTTTTACTTCGAGCCCAGCAGCAGACCAAGCGTCTGCATCTCTCGAAACAGCAATGGCTACTAGTCTACTACAACAATGCTATCATTGCCTGATTCTAGTGAGTGTTTCTTTCTAGAGTGTGATGCTTCAGAAGAAGGAATAGGTGGTGCTCTCATCCAAAATGACTGCCCCATAGCCTTTAATAGTAAAGCGCTATTGCCAATACATCTAGCTTTATCAAAGTACGAAAAAGAGATTATGGTCACCATTCACTAAGGGACCGAGAATCACATTGTTGATGTTCTCAAGACAGTGCAAAGAAGGTACATGGCTCTCCTTATTTGGATCAAACTGGATGAAATATGTGAATTAAGAGTGGAAAGAAGATACAAGATAACTCAGAATAATGCAAAGACTTCAACAATATTCGAATCTCATCCCACACTATTCCTAAAAAGGACGGACCTTGTTATTATGCTTGGATATTCTCAAGTAACC